TTCCTTTTTTCAGGTTTTCTTTGCATTGACAATGGCAGCTATGGGAGTTTCCCAGGCCACTGGCTTAGCACCAGATCTTAACAAGGCCAAGGATTCTGCAGCTTCTATATTCGACATTCTTGATAGAAGGCCCAAGATTGACTCAAGCAGTGACCAAGGCGAAACTTTACCAGTTGTACGTGGAGATATTGAGCTGCGACGTGTGAGCTTCAAGTACCCTACCCGACCCAATATCCAAATCTTCAAGGACTTATGCCTAACAATGCCTGCTGGAAAGGTACACATACGTTTTGATTTTTTGATTTTTTAAAGTCTTATTCTACACTTCTCCATATTCATTCTTGATTTGACTACATTGTATTATAGACTTGTGCTCTTGTGGGGGAAAGTGGAAGTGGAAAATCAACGGTGATTAGCTTAATAGAGAGGTTCTATGATCCTGACAGTGGGGATATCCTCTTGGATGGGGTTTCTGTTAAGGATCTTAAGCTAAGTTGGTTAAGGCAACAAATGGGGTTGGTTAGTCAAGAACCAATTTTGTTCAATGAGTCGATCCGTGACAATATATCATACGGCAAACACGGGAAGGCAAGTGAGGAAGAGATTATCGAGGCAGCAAAATCATCAAACGCTCACAACTTCATTTCCTCTCTGCCCCAAGGCTACGACACGCCCGTGGGAGAACGTGGGGCCCAATTATCAGGTGGTCAAAAGCAAAGGATTGCCATTGCGAGAGCAATTTTGAAGGACCCAAAGATTCTTCTGTTGGACGAGGCCACAAGCGCACTTGACACTGAATCAGAACATGTAGTGCAAGAGGCTTTGGACCGCGTTATGGTTAGCCGGACCACAGTTGTGGTTGCTCATAGATTAGTGACGATTAGAGGAGCCGACATGATTGCCGTTGTCAAGAATGGGATTGTTGCAGAGAAGGGGAGTCATGATGTCCTTATGAATACTGTAGATGGGGTGTATTCGTCCTTAGTTGCACTTCACATGAAAGCAGCCTGATACATATTGTCTTTTTCTTCATCACATTTGTTTCTTTTCTTTTTTTACATGATCAAGAGGTAGTATGTATCACATTGCAGCTAAGTGCAATGAAGGAGGCATAAACTAGTTTTAGAATTTTAGGAAATTTTCTTCTGTAGTCTATAGGTTATTGAAATCTGAGTATTATAGCAAATTTGATCAAGATATGTCCATTTTTTTATCATGACATGTCTCAAGTCCCATCATTTTCATTTTCTACATTCATTCTTTACCATCTGAATGGTTAGTAGTGGTTGATGTGGGTTTTAATAAAAACAGGCTTTTGCATGGCTTCTCTATTATGCTATCAGGGGCAAGTCAGATTAATTACTAGCTTGTGTGTGTTTATCGAGTGTTCTTCATAGAATCAGATTAAGAAATATGTCGAGTTAGTAATAGAGAAGTGAAAGAAAGGTTTTGTGAAGAATCATGTCTCCCTTGTCCTCATTTTTAGTTGGTTACGTTGCCTTGTTGTAGTAAAGAAACTAAGTTATTTCCGCTCAATTAATTAATGATTTCCTCCTTGAAGGAAGTTTTTTCAAGGAAATTTTAATATCGACTCAAGGGCCTTTTCAAACAAGAAGGAAGTTTTTCAACCTGACGTGAGCAAAAAGGCCTTCAGAATAATAACATGCATGGATGGTTACACAACGATATTGATCTCAATTCTCAATAATCAATATGCGTTTCCAAGATTAAACAATTTTTAAACTAAATATTAGAAATAGGGGAAGAGTGCTTCAAAAGTTGTTTTCATTTTTTCTATTACACAAAACACTAAACAAACATTAGTGTTACCCCACCTCAAGATTATTATGAAAGTTTATATTGTTTGATATTATTTCTCTCAAACAATACATATCAACTTTTACTACTAACGATTTTCATGTAATTTTCAAAATTAATTACTAATCAAAAGTAAAAACAAACATTAGTGTTACCCCTTGATTTCATGAGGTGGGTTGAAGGTGTGGGGTCTGGCACATAAGTTTTAGACTTCTAGTTGTGTGTTAGGGTTCTAGAATTGAGAACGGGGCCAAGGATGACTTGGGGTTGTAGGGTTACTCTTCTTCTTGCCCGTGCCTGGAAGAGCCGGGAGAGGGGAGAGAGAGTCTGTGACTTCTCTGAGAACAATTTCTAAGGATAGATGATTTTATTAAGGCTGAATAAATAATATAAAAGGGAATCCTGCCTTAACATGATAGAGTTGCGGTCTAACTGAAATTGTAACCTCTAAATAGTAAATACTTCTATTACTAATAGATATTAATAAATAAATAAATAAATAAATAAAATATAAAAATAACATTAGGATAGATTCCTCTTCCAATTAAACTTCCCACTTGCCCATATGTTTTCTCCTGTCATAGGGAATTCCATAAAATGCATGTGTAACATTGTGTTGTGAACTACTCTCTATAAATCATACGAAGTAGATGTATCTTCTAAAATATTACTCCGTATTAAAATAAAATTATAGAAAAAATGAGACCATAATTATTAAGAATATGATTAGAGTTTTGGTTACACCATTGTACATAAAGATAACATTCATTGTATTAAGAATTTTTTGTACACACCGGTTTATACACTCCTATATGTCATTGGTGAACATGCTACTTTAATTATTATGAATATTTTTTTACCAACAAAATATATTTTGTGTGTGAACAAGCTATTCACAAAATATGGAGTGTAGCATTTTGCGTTTAACGAATAGCGGACTATGGGGGTGTTTGTTAATTGGCGTTTCAACCGAAAAATGACAGTTTGACCACTTTTAACGTTTTCAATAAGCAAAAAAGATGTTTGGTAAATAGTTGTTCGTCACTAGCGTTTTGGACGGAAACGCTGAAATGGAAACACTGTAAATAAGAGATTTTTGGTTGAGTGTTTTGAAATATGGTGTTTTCTACTAATTTTATGGCCAAATTGCTAAATTACCAAACATTTTCAGACAACCCGCCAATTTATTCCACTAGTCAAACCCGCTGACTGAACCCGCTATAGACAACTCGCTAACATACTCTGCTATCCGCTAACCGCTCTCCGCTAAATGTCAAACACACCTAATGTTAGAATGTTGTTAATAGCGGATACTGTGTATAAATGCATAGGGCCTCTGCAAGTACAGGGGACAAAGCTCCACTCTCTATCTGTCAGATTGGGATTATAGTTCAATTTACATCATCCCAATGTACCGTCCGGTCAGGGTTGGAGGCCCTCAGGGATGGGGTGTCATCCTTTTTGTTAATAGCGGATTCAGTCAGCCGGTTTGACCAGCAGAATAAGTTGGCGGGTTACAAAAAGATGTTTGGTAATTTAGTTGTCTTGCCATAACACTTGGTTAAAATGTTATATTTCAAAACGCTAACTCAAAACACTGCTATTTGCAGCATCTCCATTTCGACAGTTTCGTCCAAAACGCTAGAGCCAAAACCGAACAGCTTATATTAGCGGTATGCATATCGGTTTGGTTTAACCGAACAGAACCATACCAAACTGAACTAAATCGAACCGAAAATTTTGTTCGAGTTTAGTGTATTTCTTCTGAATCGTATTAAATCAAATCGAACCAAAACCGATAAAAAGCGAACAACACTGAATCCATTTTTTATCATACAAGACAGCCTTCAGACAAAATTTACAGATCCAATCATGAATCCTAGGCCTAAAACGACCCGAACCGAAACTCTGCCTATCAAAAGAACTCCAAAAATCCAAACATTTAAATCAAATCTACTCGAACTGAAACAGAAACAATTGCTACTAAAGAGACAAAAATATTGAAATAAAATCTTTCCACAAAGCTCTTCTTGGTATGAAGGTGGTTCCGGAGGAGAACGAGCTCTTGCAATATGGGTGAATATCAACTCCACTACCGTCGAAATGGCCGACCAAGACTTCACGATCCAACCTCGATACAACCTCTCAACCGTACCTCGTTCATCCGCCAACGCTATCTCCTCCGATGTAGTTGCAATCTCAAACATTAGAACACTTAAAATCAGTATAATCTGGTGCTCCAATTTCATATTGATATGGGCGGCGGAAAATCTCAACTCCTACAAAGAGGGGAGACGGCCGCTAGAGTTCCTCTCTCTCTAGAGAGAAGAGAGGATTCAAACTTTTTTTTGTAAATACGTCTCAGTCTATAACAACATTGAATCCAATTAAATAAATTTTTAATAAAATCTTCATACGTAGTATATTATTAAAAATAACAAATTCAAACTGAACCGATTTAAACCAAATCGAACCAAAACAAATAATAATACGTAGTGTGATTTTTGTTTAGTAGAATTCTTCCAACCCGTTCTAAATTTAACCGAACCGAAATCGATAAAACAGATGAGATTATCCATATGCCTCCTTGCTTATACACACAGACATGTAAAAGAAGCATGACAGTTTCAATAAAAACTAGGAATTTTATCAATTCAGAACCCGAAAGATAGATGAATTATCAATTCGGACCTGAAAGATGACATCTATCGGTATAGGACCCGAATGATGAAAAACTATCAATCTAGGACCTAAAATTTCATAGGTTTTGATTTATTTAATTTTTTATTAATTCCATTACTAATTTTTGATAAACTTTTCTCCACAAAAGTTTATTAGTTTCATAAAAATAAATAATATTTAAAAATTTTAAAATAAAAAAATTAATAAAATTTCGGACAACTTAGGTCCTAAATTGATAATTTCCAATCATTTAAGTCCAAAATTGATAGTTTTCCATCATTCGAGTTCTATATCGATACATTTCATCTTTCAGATCCCGGATTGATAATTCATCTATTTGTTACCCCAAATTTAACTAATACCTTGCCTATACAAACACCTAACCTAGACATCACCAATTTCACTACACATCCTTCTGGAAACAACTACCCTGCTTTGCTAATAACCAAGCTGCTTCATATTTTACCCGAATCGGTAAATGCCGTTTTCTTATTTTTCCATTGTTATAATAATCATTGAGGAATTTCGGCAGTTGCTTTATACTTTTATAAACAAGACAGGATAATCCTCCTCTCTCCCTAACTAAAGCTGCAATTTCAGGGAAGAATAAGCGTGAGCTATTTAGGTTGCTATGCAGGGCAGAATTGGTTGTAAGTCGACTGTTCTCAGACGATATTTACGAGCATTTTCCGTTCACCGGAATATTGGAAACAGAATGAAATCGAGAGCAGGTGTGAGTTCAGAAATTTCCTGTGGGGGTGTGAGTTTTTCTTCTTAAACTCGCGTTTTAAACTTGCTCATCAAATGTATTTAGAACTATCAATGTCATTGGTTTCTTTAGGCCCCAAATTGATCGTATTTTAATGATCTGTAATAAATTTATTAGTTTTCGTAAATCATAATCTTTTATAAATCACCCCGAATACCAACTCTTTGCTAGTGCTGAATTATGTGGTCAGGCTTGTCGGATTCGGATTATGATTTTTGGCTTACTATTTTTGGCCGGCTAGGATCATCCGTCACAGGAAAAGATTTCACATGGTGTAAGGAAAAGAATGCGGATAAGTCCTGATAAAGAATCTGGAGATGGAAAAGAATGCTATTCACATTTACCTACTTCTAATCCTAGTCACAGTATTAAAAGGAAACCTAGAATTGACTTGGGTGCTCAGATTGAGCTACACTCAGACCCGACAATTCAGAAAATCGATTCAAGGAGATTGAGTTCGTTGGACCCGGAGAGAGACTCTTTGCTACCTAGTAGTTTTGGGAAGAAGAATGTATATGCGGGTCGTAGTAAGTCAAAGCTTGAAAAAATAAGTTCTTCATCAAAAGTTGAAGTCAAGAAGAAGTGTAAAGAAGTTTTGAATATGTACGAGCCATTTGATATTTGTTTGTCTGAGAGTAGAGAAGAAGTCACTCTTGAAGCTCCTTTACAAAGGAAGGAGGGGGAGAAACAGCCCGAAGCGGATCAGTCCATTGAAAACAGTGGGATGATACTGAGACCAGGAATGGTTCTACTTAAGAATTACATCACTCTAGATGAACAGGTAACATTTAGGTGCTACTCTCTTCTCATTTTCTCAATTCTCATTATGTGTGAGCGTGTGTGTGTATGAACAATCAATTGCTTGCAGTTATATACACCTTAATCACTGTGTGCGTTGCATGATTTAGGGCTCTATCATAAAGACATGTCGAGAACTAGGACTTGGGAAGGGTGGATTTTATCGACCTGGGTACAAAGATGGAGCAAAGCTACGTTTGCATATGATGTGTCTTGGTCGTGATTGGGATCCTCAAACTAGAAGTTATGGCAAGACAAGACAACATGACAATGCTGAGGCGGTCCCCATTCCTCCTGAATTCTCTAAGTTGGTTTCCAAGGCCCTCAATGATTCTCACAAGTTGATCGAAAGACAATTGGAAATGTGCAACCCAGAGGAAGTGATTCCTTTGATTACTCCAGATGTATGCATCGTCAACTTCTATAGTGTAGGGGGGAGACTTGGTCTCCATCAGGTAAATAATAAAAACTTTGATTCTCTTAGACTTTCATAGTTTCATTTTTTGCTTTCATCTTAGGGGAAAATAATTTAAATACCCCAAACTCTAATGTGATGTGAGATAACGGATAAGTACCCCAAACTTGAATATGTAATATATATATATATATATATATATATATATATATATATATATATATATGAGTAGTGTTCCGGTCAGGCCTTCCTGATCGGAACCGCCATCCGGCAGACGGCTTTTGGGGCCCTTCCCGGTGGCTTTTTTTGATGATATTTTTATGGCATGTTCTTCATCAAGTCTAGTTTATCCACACAAAAAATCAGCTAAAAAGTCAATCCAGAAGGTCGTCAAATGATTTTTTGAAGTTAATTGCGCAAAAGAATACATATAAAACGCAGTTAACTTCCAAAAATCATTTGACGACCTTCCGGATTGAGTTTTTAGCTGAATTGTTTTGTGAATAAACTAGACTTGATGAAGAACATGCCATAAAAATTTCATCAAAATAGTCACCGGGAAGGGCCCCAAAAGCCGTCGGCCGGACGGCGGTTCTGGTCCGGATTTCCGGACCTGAACATTTGTCTATATATATATATATATATATATATATATATATATATATATATATATATATATATATAAGAGATCAAATACAAACCATGCTTAAAATACTAACCTACAAACTCAATAATATGAAACACTTTGAACTTCAATATGCAATACAAATAATATGCATCACTTTGAACTTCAATATGCAATACAAATAATATGCAACACTTTGAACTTCAATATGCAATACAAATAATGTAAAGATGCACAGTTTGTGATAGTTTGTAGGTTAGCATGGGAGGACTAGTTTGTATGTGATCCCACCCCTACACACACACACATATATATATAGGGAAGAGTTCAAATAAAAAGTGAGGTTCCCGTGCAAAGTGCAAAATTTGCACTTTTTCATATTTCGTTTTCACTTTTTCATGTTTCCGTTGCACTTTTTCGCCATTGCGATTTTGGCCAAATTCGGGCAAAACCACGGTGGCAGTTTTGTAAATAAACCAATTTTTTTCGCTACCGCGAAAAAGTGCAACGAAAGCAAGCAAAAGTGCAAGCGGAACTTGAAAAAGTGCAAATTTCGCACTTTGCACGGGAACACTACTTTTTATTTGAACCTTCCCCTATATATATATATATATATATACCCGAAACTTTATATAAAAAGTTATTTTTGGGCCATTATTGTATGTTTTTTTACAAATACAAATTTATTGGAATAATTAAATAATTTAAAATATTCTAAGCATTGTTAGAATGCAGTTAACATTCTAACATTTCATTTGTGAAATAAATAATATTACATCCGGTTTAATTTAATTTTTATTGCATCCTCATAGATGTTTTGTGTATTTTAAGTTATATACTTCACACCATAAATTAAATTTGTGAAAAACACATGATTATGGTACTAATATAACTTTGTATATAAAGTTTGGGGTATATATATTACATGTGCAAGTTTGAGGGGCTTATCTCACACTCTTTCAAAATTTGGGGTATTTAAATTATTTTCCCCTTCATCTTATAGAGTAACTATAAATTTTTATCTTGGCCCATCAAAATGAAGTTTTTCCAATATTTCAATGCCAAATGAGGTTTTGCTCTCTCTTGTATGCTTACTCTCTCACATGGCACGCTTATCTATTTTGAGTAGGCTATTTAAATAGCTTACGGGTATCTCAAATACTTATCTTTAGAAATGTTCTGTTATTGCCTTCAGCTATATGGTTTTTATGTGGTACTATCATTAACGTCACATCAACAAGTAAAAGCATTTTACAATATAGTCTAACATAGATCTTTTCATTGCATCTGCTTCGTGTCATATTTGGATTTTAGAAGATACACTGTTATTTAAACAAAATAGCATGATGAATTACATAATCAATACATGGGGAAAAAGAAGATTTTTGAAACACAGATACTGAACTAACACGAACAACTTGCCAACCTCTGTACGTAGGTAGACGATTAATCTTCTGAAACAGTAGATAACTTCTTGGTTGAAGTATTTGATACGGAGTATAATAATGTTGATAACTTGATATCCACAGGATCGTGATGAAAGCCCAGAAAGTCTTGACAAGGGATTGCCTGTCATCTCCTTTTCTGTTGGCAACACTGCTGAGTTTTTGTACGGTGACGAGAGGGATGTTCAGAAGGCTGAAAAAGTATTACTGGAGTCTGGAGATGTGCTGATATTTGGTGGGAAGTCAAGACATATTTTTCATGGGGTAAAGTCAATTATCCCCGACACAGCTCCAGTCTTACCTGAAGGCATAAAGGCACTTCGCCCTGGGCGCCTAAACCTGACCTTCAGACAAAACCAATAATGAAACTTATATTCATCTATTATTTCTATTTGCATGTGTTTCTCAATGAAATTGTATTTCCAGCATATACCAGAAATGAAGCAAGGCCTGTAGCACTATAGTGTTGGACAATGTCCTGTCCCTGGCCCGGACCGAGACTGACCAGTTTTTAACCGCAAACTGAACTGACCAGGCCAGCACAGGTAATTGGTTATTTTATAGTCTGATTCTTCCAAAATAAAGTATGACCAGACATACTGGTTCCTATTTATTTAATTGTTAATAATTGATTTATTTAATCGGTTAGGGAGCGGGTAGAAATTGAAACAGGACCTGATCCAGAATTGCTTGTTCTTCCAAACCATAACCGTGGTATTATTGGTTCTGGGAGGAAGCGGTCCAGCTTAGCTGGTCACCGACTCACTCTCCCATACGGGAGGTCTTGGGTTCGAAACTCCATGAAGGGAGTGTTAGCCCCCCTCCCTGATATGGATGGACTCGAGCCGGGTGGCCCGACCCGGAACCGGCCCGGGACCGGTACTGTTCCGGCCCGGCCCGACCCGGTGGCCCGGTCAATGACCGGTCCGGGTAGGCCCGGCCCGTGGGTTTTCCGGTCCGGGCTCGGGTCACCCAAAACAAGGCCCGACCCGGCCGGGCCCGGGCCCGGTTCGGGCCAAAAACTATTTTTTTTTTCAATTTTTTTAAAATTTTCGGGTTGGGCTGGGTATTTTGGGCCATTTGGGGTGGTTTGGGGGGTTGGGGGTGGGAGGGGGGTTAATTAGGAAAAGGAAAACAAAAAAAAAATATAATGGACCCGGATCGGACCCGGTGGTTACCCGGACCGGTCCCGGGTCCACCATTTCTGACCCGCCGGCCTGCCCGGGCCTAGGCCCGACCCGGACCCGGCCCGGACCTGAGTTCATCCATACTCCCTGACCTCTTGGGGTAAATGAACACACGCAGCATTAGCGATTAACACCTAGTCAAACATTATCTCCAATGTTGTCTCAGTATCAATTCTTTCTTATCATAAGTCATAAACGTGTCTCTCTTATCCTATATTCGTATAAAATGTGCAATGCATAAGAAGCAATTGATGTATAGACTTATATATTAAAGATAAAAACATATATGGTCTATAAAAATGAAAAATTCGTCAATAATGGCAAAGGAGCCCCTTTATGACATTATATAGGTAGGAATTTGGGTTGCCATTAGGGGTGGACTCGGGTCGGGCCAACCAGCCCGGAACCAGACCAGCCCGCTACTGTGCGGGCCCAGACCGGCCCGGTGAACCGGTTGGTGCCGGGTTCGGGCCACCCGGCCCGGTGAGGTAGGCGGGCCGCCGGGCCGGGCCCGGGCCTCCTAAATCGTGAACCGGCCCGGCCGGTTCAGGCCCGGATCGGACCAAATTATTTTTTTTTGAATTTCTTTTAAGTTTTTGGGTTGGGCTGGGTATGATGGGCCATTTGAGGTGGTTTGGGGGTGAGGGGGAGGGTTGGGGGTTAATTAGGAAAAGCCAAAAAAAAAAATATAAGAACCGAGGCCCGACCCGGGCCGGTTCCGGGCCTCCCCTTTCATGAACCGAGGCCTGGCCGGGCTCAGGCCTGAACCGGAATCGATCCATCCCTAGTTGTCATGGCATTGTACAATGAGGAACGAGGTGACCAAGGACCGAGGTATTATTGGACCATCAATTTTGGAGTGATTGGTGATTCACTATAAAGGGTAAAAACCATCCATGATTTTCTGGACCGTGATTGGACCAGTGGTCAACATAACGTAGGTTTGGTCATAGCCTTCGTATATTTTGACCCTGTCTTACTCCCAAATCGCTAAAGTTATTTTGATTTGGCGGCAATGAAAATTATCTTCTACCTATTTAGCATAGTGTTAGGGGATGTTTGGATCTGATTCTTAAAACTCCTTCTCCTCTTTCAAGGAGCAGAAGCAAAAGTTGAAGTGTTTGTGTGAGGGTGCAGAAGCATTTCTGGTGCTCTAATTTACTCATAGAATCAGTTTTTGTAGAAGTTTGGGGAGATCAGGTTCCGAAAACTGATTCTGCTTCTGTTTTAAAAAAGAAGTAGAAGCAGAATCAGTCCAAACACCCCCTTGATATTGTTTTGAATGATGCTTGAATTTGAGACTTCATTGATAAAGTAACGGTGATGCCATCAAACTACAAATAGTTTGCTCCATAAGTAAAAAATTAGTTCAAGTTATCCCCATGAAAAGACCTCATCCATACAGTCTATTGCTCACTACTTAGGGTACACTAAAGTGACATGCCTTGTAAAATAGACTTATTTCTAAACCTTTTAAATAGATTCAAGTTTCCAAATCCTTGGCCTCTAGAGCTAACCCTTGAGCAGGTCAGCAAGTTGGGTTTCTAATTGTCAGTATAACACACTCGTTAAGAATGGTAGCGGAATACATATAGTTTGTGATCCATACAAATTGTGTGTAGCTGTGTGTGACTTAAGATTGCTTGATCGTATTTGGAAACCTTTCATACGCAATGTGATTAATGACATGCACCAAATCCATTGAACAAAACAAAACTTTAAGATGTAAATTGAGTGCATGAAGTATGAGGATAATTGTTTAGTTGAGGAGTTGAATACCTGAATAAAATCCCTAACCAAGTATTCCAACCCAGCTGGTTGTGATGTTATTACCGCACCTAGTGGGAGGTCTTGAGTTCGAAACCCGCTAGGCACACAAGGGTTTGAAACTCAATGTAGTGAGTTTCAGTCCTGATTACTCCAGGACGCCCAACCCCTCCTCCCCAGACCCCCCTGGAGTAAAAAAAAAATACTTGAATAATCCCTAATACCCATATGGCAGACGCTTCTCACCTCGAGAAGACTATTACATGATAGGAGGTTTGTAGTCCTAATTTTTTTGCCTCTGGCCGCTCTGCAATCTCCACACTCGCAATGTATCAGCACATCTCTGCAATGCTGGAAAAATAACTAATTTTCATAAATGCTTGCAAATCAAAGCAATTCCACTTGCCACACCTTAAGATTCTCAGTCTTTAAATTCAATCATATGCTTCCTATCTATTGAAGCCTTCAGTTGAATTATGGCAGCTGGTATGTCTTAGATATGAGGCTTCTCCTAATCTCCTTTGAGTATGCTTAATAAGAATGGTGCGTGCTAGTGAGCCTCTCATTCCCATCCTGCCTCTTCAGGTTGTGTGAGCAAATTCCTTTTTGAAGCTATGTTCAACTGATCTTTCAATAAAACTCATTTTCACAATCTTGTGGCATAAACTTTTTCTTCTTGATATAGCTTATATTGTCACTAACATCATATTACGCCACTCGTACATTTTGCTAAGCAGATATTTTACTTTGGCTAAAGGGTCAAATAGGTGTATGAACTAACTTAAAGTGTTCAATTAGCCCTTTATATAGGAGGTTCTGTTCGGCCGTCGCCAATTGGGGTGGTTTCCGGTGGAATCTTTTTATGAAATTTTTTGCGCATCTTCTTCATCACGTCTAGTCTACCCATACCAAATTTCAGCTAAAAATTCAACCGGGAAGGCAGTCAAATGATTTTTTGAAGATAACTGCGCAGTTAAATAGCGCAGTACATTTCAGCTAAAAATTTCGTTGAAAATCATTTGACTGCCTTTCCGATTTAATTTTTATCTGAAATTTGATATGGATAAACTAGACTTAATGAAGAAGATGCTCAAAAAAATTCATCAAAACATTCCATCGGAAACCGCCCCAATTGGCGACGGCCGGACAGAACCTCCTGAATAAGGGGCTAATTGAACACTTTAAGTTAGTTCATGTACCTATTTGACCCTTTAGCCTTTTACTTTCTTCGTCTTTGATTTTGAACTAATCATTAAGACTTATTAAGTTATTATAGCATTTGTTTTGTGCAATTTGAAGTAACTAAATGGAAATCAAATTTTAGATGAAATATTATATGAAGAAAAATTGGGATAAATGCAAGATAAAATGAATACAAATTATGAAAAATATAGACTAAGACTATGTTTGGCACAACGAGCTGGAACTAGAGACTAATGTCTGAAATAGAGGCTATTGTCTGAATAGAAGATTATTGTCTGGAGCTGAAGTTTGAAGTGTTGAATCTAAATTGATAGCTAAATGGAGTAGACCCGTTTGGCAAAAAGAGCTGAAAAAATGTTGGGATAATATGAAATTAAATTAAAGGAAATATTATTTATTAATGGAATAAAAATACTTCTTATAATGAATTTTACATTTTCAGCATTTATAAAAATCTTTCAAAACAAAACCTTTTTTTAAAAATTACGGAGTATATTTGTATGTATTAGATTATATAATTAGGAAGACTAATTTATATAATTTATATAAAATGAGCTACTGAATTAGATTATATAATTATGAAGACTAATTTATATAAATGAATAATATAAGTACAATACAGAACGTAGAGATGTAAAAATTACATAGCTTAGCTTGAGTAAAGGATATGAATAGTGTATATATTCCAATATTGCAATTAATGGGATACAAAGAACGGTATAATTTTGCTATATAACAGAGAGAGTATAGGGAGCACATGGAGTACAAGTACAATACAGAACGTAGAGATGTAAAAATTACATAGCTTGAGGCTTCAACTAGCTAGGCAGATAACAATTTGATCGGTTGGGGAAGAAACAATAGCAGAAAGGTTTTATGATGATGGAAGAAGGATACGATCAGAATAAAGGGTCTCGAAAGGAGCGGCTGAATACAAACGTTCCCTTCCTCAACATATCATTTCAGTCCATTTATTTCAGTTCAAGCCTGATTCAGCCCCTCGAACAAATAAGGCTATTTTAATTAAAACTGACTGGATTTTAATTATTTCAACTTTTTGAGCTTATGTGGCTTGCCAAACATAGCGAAAGGCTCAATTTGAATCTTATTTGATTGGAGTGAACTTTTATAAACTTATTTGGTCTAAATTGAACTGATATGGACTGGTCTTATTAATCCTGTTTAAGTATGATGTGATCCATACGATATGTATTACTCCCTCCTATTACCGAGGGCTCCCAGTGCCGAAGGCTCGGTTTTCAAGCCTTGTTCTCCTGTGATGTTTTTTAGCTCGATTCTGTCAACGGTAGCCTTCGGCCATGGGGCCGAGGGCACCTCTCTTGCATGTTATGGGCTTCTCAGAGCTTTATTTTGCTGGGCTTGGCCCGTTTGGGCCTGTTGGGCTTGATTGCAGGAGTGGAAGTATGTGGACCGGGGGTCCCTGAGCCATATACTCCATCAATAGTCTTATAATTGTTTAGG